CACCTTGATTTGTCAAGATTCAGGAGTTTGCTTGCTTTAGCGTGTTTTGCTGAGGATTTTGGTTGTTTCTAATATCATTTTCCTCTTGTGAAACCTTGTTTATAACTTCTATGTTCCTGCCCATAAAACATAGACAGTGGGACTGTGGAGGTTATTCAGCCAGCTTTACGAACATTGCTGAAAAGTGGTGTTGAAAGATAAACTCAATGTAATTGGCCACTGTACAATAAAAAAGTAAATTTTGGTCTCAGTGGAAGAGATGCAAGGTAGTATATGTGTAGTCAGTCTTTTTCTATTTCTATCGCATGCAATAGCATCATGCCCTAAACATTTCTTTTAGGATAAAAATGCTTTTATCAGTAAAAAATTATAGTTTCTTTTAGCATTCTTGGTGATATACAAAAGCCTCCACACTCCCCTCAATTCTTGTAATTAATGAGAACTAATGAGGACAGATTAATGTAATCTGCTGTTTTCTTTTTCTCTGCTTCTGCTAATCAGTCCCACTTGAATACACTGAGTCTACTGATAATCTAGTAGCTTTCTATAGCACTGTACAAAGGAACTGAATTATCCATAGAATATCCACACCTTCCCATCAATTTTCTTGCAAAAGATGATAAATCTTAACTTGTTTTTCCATGTTACATGAAAGAGTCTTTTGGCAGGCTTCCCAATAGGCATGGATCACATTCCTAGAGCTCTCTCCAAAGCCATAAGAATGGAAACGAACAACTAAGAACTTTCCAGTTTAGATCTGGCTCTGTGTACGTTAAGAGAAACAGCAGCGTAACCGTGAGTACCAGCATAAGCTGCAACAGAAAGCAGAGCAAAATCTGGCAGACTGTTACAACTGTCCTGTCTCAGCTTGACGTGTCTATTCCCAGTGTTTGTCATGATACAGAGACTCCATGACTGAGACAGGTCTGCCACCAAGTAGTATTGCTTGTAGGAAAAGATCAAGCGCACGATGACAGAAAGAAACACTTTATTTTTCTTTAGTCTCTTCTATTCAAGTGATTCCTTGGCTTCTTGGCTTCTATTGTAGTAAGTGCTTTTGTGAGTGACTGAAATAAGATAAATGGTATGTAGTGTCTATTTTAGGGATGGAGTTTTCTCTGTCAAGGCAGAAGCAGTGCTCCAGAACATCTATTCTTTGCATAAGGGGAGGAAAAAAAAAATAGGCCTAGGAAGCTGAGGATCATGTTATGTTATAGAGAATATGATCTGGAAAAATATTGAGGCAGGGTGGGGATAAAAAAAGAATTGATTCCGGATGTCTCTCTGAGGGTACAATCCAACTCTCATGGAAGTTAGCTGGAAATTTTCCATCTCCTGTAATATGAGTTAGGTTGGGTCATCAGAATATCGCCATAACAAAACAGAACTAAAACTGGTAGTAAGCACAGGCAGATCTAATAAAAATGTTTTAAAGGATTATACTATAGATGGGAGATTACTATAGATTGTGGCAAAGATGTCAAATTTGCTGAGGATAATAGTAATTCAAATTTCAGAGTTCTTCGTGCTTTTATTTAAAATAGTGGAACATGAATTGATGAAATCTCACGACTGTGCTGTAGCTTCTATTTTGCGGGTAAGATAAGTTGGAGAAGAAGTAACAGACCAGGAGTTAAAGAACATCTCGGTATCGGAGCTCAGACCAAGCAGGAATCTTGACTTGGAGCACTCTGCTGCAGTTCCTAGTACTACTACATCTTAGGAGGACTGGATCTGCTTTCATTAGCAAGCTTTCCTTCCCGTGTTTTACCAATTTTTCCAGAACAATTGCACATTTCAAGATATACTTCCTGATAACTATCTTTTCATAGGATGAGACATCCTCATCTCATTTTTTTCTCTGAAATGATATTCTCAGCCCTGAAAATACTGTTTGCACCTCAACTAAAATTTTAAAAATGCTTAGCTTCTGAGCTTAAGTTCCATTTTTAAATGTACTAAGCAGCCTATATTTCATTAAAAATCTTAGTCTTAGATACTTTTAAAAAGACAACAATTAAATTTAAAATATCCTATCACATTTTTTTCTTGGATGTAGCTGTGATTGTTCACCTTAAATAGTAACACAGTGCCTGGCACTGCCTGCACTGGGGGAATGGTTCTACAATCAAGTCACCTAATGTGACTTTAGCTTCAAATTTTAATCTCTCTCTGAGCCACATCCTGTTTTCGGTTAACTGATCTCATATGGGGGAAATTTACCAGAGGAAATATCTCAAGTTTGGAAAGTACCAAAAACTTATCTTTGCTTTTCTTGTGTAATTCAGCACCTTTTAAGATAGAGGTGTCATTTTTGAGAACTGTCAAGGTAAAAGACAAGGAATCAACTAACAGCACGGAAAGGAGACCTGTGGATTAATAGGATGTGTCCCTTCATTCCGAAGCAGGAGCCGACCCATCAGGGTAACATTCATCTTTCCAATGGAGGGAGAAGGAAGTGGGAATGATGAGAAATCAGATGTGATTCTGCAAGTATTAGTAGTGCAAGTCTTCTCGCTCCTTTAGGCGAACCTTGGTATTTAAAATGGAAGCCTTATAAAATAACTTTGCTAAGACTGACATTATGTTCCTCTTTCAAATCATCAAGTATCCTAGTAACATCCTGGCTTTGAAAAAGGTTATGCATGCAGGTACCCTGGCTGCATGCACAAACCAGATAATTGCACACCCGCATTGTTAAATTAGCATTTTTCTTGTGCTGCACGTGGTACTTTTAATCTGGAGACACCAAAGGCTTTTGCAAAAGGCAGCAAATATTATTTCCTCTTTACAGAGAGGAGGATGGAAGCATTTACTTGGCCTAATGGTTTATCCAATAACACTCCAATGAATGTGGCACTAAGCCACGTGGATACCCCAAAGCTAACTCTTGGCAATTGGCTTCATCGTGCCTATGCTGTTCATTTCTAGTGCCAATTTCCTTTTCATCATCCATTTTAAACTGTTAAAGCATGCATTAAAAAACTTGCCACTTGTCTAAAGCCAGTCTAATTTAAAGGGAAGTACGTAAAAGATTTTCTGACGAAATGGAGGATCAAATTTTTATATTGGAAACAGTCTTGCATCCTGATTCGTGAGTGATGGGGGGTAGAACTAAAACTAGTATTTGGCCTAATCTTCTTCTGATAGAGAAGCTACCCTGAGTAGAAACCTCTCTGCTCCTTTACCGTGAGCATCTTAAAAGGATTTGCATTCATTAGTAACTCATCTCCTAACAGCGTCTTGTTCTAAGTGTGGTCTGCACTTGATAATGATGAGAGACTTGAGCTGCTCAGGAAATCCTCATAGGGCTGGGGGAGGTTCAAGTGTCCTGGCTCCTCCGTGCGAGCCCCAGGCAGCAGAGGGGTGCAGGGCATTTCCTCCGCGCTCCCCCTCTGGCTGCAGAGAGGTCTCTGTGCGAGTTGCAGGGCCAGGTCACTGTGTCGTGCAGCCCCGGTCACACGTTGAATCATCCTCCAACCACTTTCAGGAACTAACCATGAAAGTGGGTTCCCTGTTTCTGCTCTCTTGAAGGAGTTTGTTCCCTTGGGTCTTTCCTAGTATGTTTTCATTGCTGGTTCCTAGGGGTTGGTCCATTGCAGCATCCCAGCGCAGCTCCCAGCTCCTGGCTGGACCTCCCTGCTGGCAAAGTCACCGTGTGCTCCTGCGCCAGAGCCCGGCCGAGCGCTGTGCGGAGCCGGCTGTGCCCACGCCGAGCCCCGGGCTGCCGGGGAGGCCTCGCGGTGCTCGCGCGGCCCCGCTCTGCCCGCAGAGCCGCC